CATTCTGTGATTCTGTGATTCTGTGAAGAGGCCTGCTAGGGGAAGGAGCAGGAAAAGAAGTGTCTCATAGGGAGTAAATCCAGGGAATATTAAGAGAAAAATGTAACAACTGCTTAAGGCTTTGATTTATTTTCTGATTTGTCTAGGCCAGAGGATAGAGGCTTAACTCTGGTTTCTTCCTGCTTCCCTTCAGTGGAGGGAGGATAGCCAAATATCATAAGATACTGCCCACTCAGGGAGGTGGTATCTTCTATGTCTGCATTACACACGGGCGCTGTGGAGTATCCTTGGAGAAACATTTGCTCAAGCACTGGGAGGTTTTGCTAGACAGTATTCACCCTGAGACTGATACGGGCCTTGCGCTGGCACGTCAGTGCTGGTAGTGCAAGGTAGCTGCAGGCTTCTTGTAACAGTCACAGCCAGTGCATTTTGCATTATTTGTTAGAAAAAGGACAGAAGATATAATACATGGTTGTACTGTTTAGATCTCTTTGTCTGTTATACTCTTTTTATCAAATAGTCTTGGTGCTGTAGCTCTTAACAGATATGGAATGCTTATGCAAATTTGATATTTAAGTACAAATGTCATATTTATTTATAGTTTGAAGAGAAAAGCAGCTGTTTTATTCATGTTTAAGTCACTTCCTGACAATCCAGCACAATGTATTTTGTCAGTGCCTTTTGTTGGTGGTAATGGCTTACGTGCGGGGGTGGGGTAAGCCTGGTGCTTATGTAACAGTCCTGCATTCTCCTTCAATCCAGATCAAGGAAAAGCTGCTGCAGCTGACAGAAAAGAGAAAAGAAATGATTGACAAATGGGAAGACAGATGGGAGTGGCTGAGACTGAGTAAGGACATCCTTGGATTTCTTTTGGGCAGGGCCATATCTAACTCTCTTTGCTGTGTCTTTCTTAGCGTTGAAAAAACCTGCAGCTCCTGACTGTTTTATTAATAGTGCTTGAAGGTGTGTTTGTACTGTAACAACTGTAAGATTCACACCTGTTGGTTGTAAAATAACAGGGCATTTGAAACCAAGAAACCTGCACCAAATTTCTTACTCTATATGATCAAATTTGGAGCTAGGTACAACAAATCTACTGTATTTTGCAGGTGTCGGAGTCCAACTGTGTCTCTACAAAGGATGCACTACTAAAAACTAGGGAGATGTAAAGCCCTGCTACCTTACGCATGTAATGTGCCTGCATTAGCTGAGAGGCCAGAACACTGATGAGCAGTTTACTGACAAAAGGTGTACTTTTAAACATTGCAGCATTTTGCAAGTTTTACACCAGCCACAGCAGCCCAGTTCTGATACTATAACTAGGTGATCCATATCTCATATACGGACTGAAGCCTTTGCAGCAGACAGTTGTCCAGGACCTCAGAACATATAGTGCAGTGTTCTTCATTTTGTGGGGTTCTGGGCTGCTGTGTATACTTTCATTGTTCCTGAGCCTGAGCAGGCTTTAAGAAAAACAGTAGCATGGGCAATTGTCCCTCAGTTTGGGTGTTTGCACCATATTATTAATCAAAATTGCTTGATGCCATTCACAAAAGCTGTGGAAGCATTTTTTCAGCTGTGAAGACAGGAGGAAGGAAGCCTGGAGCTGTAGCAGTATAGGCAAGTGAACAGAAATACTGCTTGTTGAACGGAACTACAGTGCACAGTCTTGCTGTTCGGTAGACAGGCCAGTCTGAGAAGACAAGCAGACAACAGACTTTCTACTCTGAAGTTAGTAGGTTACAGCAGATCAGAACAAAAAGGAAACACTGAAATTGCAAAATAGTCTGTAGAAGGAGAGAAGGTGGGCCTTAACTTTTATTTTTCCTCACAGCAAAGCCATGAGGATAAATTTCTGTCTTTTAAATGATTAATTTCAATGAGCTTAGTTAAGGAAAATACTTAGCCAAATATATTTACTTTTTTTCCTGAGCTGTGTTTAAGTAAATTCAGAAGATGCCTGATGACTTCATGATGCTCTTTTTGATATTAGTGGCACTGATATCTGTACATTCTTTGCTCAGTTTTGGAGGTACACCAGTTTTCAAGAGATGCCAGTGTGGCTGAGGCTTGGCTGCTGGGACAGGAGCCCTACCTATCCAGTCGTGAAATAGGGCAAAGTGTCGATGAAGTGGAAAAATTAATTAAGCGGCATGAAGCATTTGAAAAATCTGCAGCTACCTGGGATGAGAGATTTGCAGCACTGGAAAGACTGACCACGGTGAGTGCTATAGGCAAGAATAACCTTTCTTGGCTGTTCCCTTTCATTTTGGTGCCATCTCATTGTTCAGAATAACTCCCAGCATCACCAGCCTAACCTTCATTTGTTGATCCATTTGTTGATCAACCTTAGCCAGTCACCCAGAGCATGAAGTTTCATGTTCTGAACAATACTAAAACCCTCTCTGGTTAATTTGAACTCAACAGCCTGCAAGGAAAAAGTTTAAATGATAAATAAATGACCTTAGTAGTCAACAAGAGCTGTCCCAGGCCCAGGAGTGATGACCCAAAAGCAAATTCAAGAGCTGAGAAGTTTGCTCCAGCCCTCTGCTGTGCAGGTTGTACTGCTAAAAGGGAAGGGGAGTTCTGAGTGAAGAAGACCCAGATCCAAACACTTGAAATTATTTTTGGTTAAAGAGGACAGTGTGAGGAGGGAGTGGTGGGGTGAGAAGGTTCAACAAAAATGTTTTGACTGCTCCAGTACAAGGCTGTATTTTCCTCTAGAAAGACATCATAAGCCAAAAAAATAAAACCAAACCAACCAATGAAAAAAAAAAGAAAATAAAAACAAAACAGACTTCCCCCTCCATGTGCTGAGCACAGCTGCAATGTCAGTAATTAAGGCTTGGAGAGCATGTTGCCATCTTTGGAGAATAATTTTACTTTATACACTAAAATTGAAGTGCCTTGATTTTTCACACACACTGAGCATCACAGCTGCAGACAAAATGAATTAGAATTTCTCAGCATCTTCAGAAATCAGGCTGGTTTTATTTAGATGGTTAATTTCAGGGGTTTGGATATGAAACACTTCTATGTATGTCAAGCAGACAAGAGGATGTCACACTTCAATATTTTAATAGCTTGGACTGCTTTCTTGTTTATGGTTTTTGTTCTAATAGAATGAATTAGAAAAGAAATACAGATGTTGGTGAGCTGCTGCCCAGGCATTCCACTCCATGTTAAAAGGTCTGATACTGTGCGCAGTTACTGAGGAACTCAGTGCAACAAACTTTGCATTATTGATACTTTTAAAGACAGTTGTCTTCCAATTTTATTCCAATAAACTTTAATTTCAGTAACTTTTCAAGACAAATGTGTGGAGTTATTTTTAGTTTGTAGAACTGCCCTTGAAAAATGTGCAGTGCTTTTAAATGCACAAAAATGTTTCATTTCTCAGTTGGAACTGCTGGAAGTACGTCGACAACAAGAGGAAGAAGAGAGGAAGAGACAGCCGCCCACTCCAGAGCCAAGCCCGAGGGCTGCAGAGGATGCAGACTCCCAGCAGCAATGGTAAGCCCAGCGTGTGGGCAGCTGAACTGCGCACTTCACACTGTTTCTTCAGACAGAATTCTCGGGCTGAAGATGCGTTGTAAAGGGAGAGCCTGGAGGTTGGGTGGTTTTGTAACGTGACCCTTTTTAGAAGACTTGGTGGATGTATTTTATGTGGATAGGACCTTTCCCAGACATCTGAATTCACTGCTAAGTTGAATTTTTCCTCATGACACCATGTTACAACTGCTGTGGTGGACCAGGTCCTAGAGTAAGAATGCTGTTTTTACACCACCCATGTTAGGAATTAAAATTTCTGAACAATCTTGGCTTTGTTCTTTAATGAGCATCAGTTACAGATAGATTTCAAGACACATCCATGGAACATTAACATTTATAAGATTACTTATGTGATAGGAGTAGACTTACTGGTAAGGTAACTCAGGAAAGTCTGTTTTACTCTCACTTAACATTGGTTTTATTCAGTTGGGCCTTGCTTGAATTTCTGAGGTGTGCAATATTCAGTAGGAAAACCTCGTTTTGTTGAAAAAAATGTGTGACTCTGAAGAACTTAATACAATTTCTTTTCTTTTTCTTCTCTCCCAACAGGGATGGGACAAAAGGAGAACAAGTTTCCCAAAATGGTTTGCCATCAGACCAGGAATCTCCACGGGTTAGTTACCGCTCCCAAACCTACCAAAACTACAAAAACTTTATTAGCAGACGGACAGCCAATGACCGATCGTGGTCTGGACTGTGACATACAGAATCATTTGCAGCAAAAGACACCTTTTTTCAGTATGGTTTACTGGTACTGGTTTAATCTTTTGGCTTCAGATTTCCCTGCTGTTTTTCTCTTCCTTCCCATCAGTTGACTTTTATTTAATTAGCAGCCCCTTGAAGATATATTTACTCCACCTTAATCCTTGTTTATTTCAGTCTCCCCACTGACACTCAGTTGCTTTAAGGTGACACATTTATTTCATGTTATTTACTGTGAGTTTTTCATGTTGCTAATAGTATTAAGATTTTCCAGCTAAATCGTCCTTTATATGAGTAATTGAGATTTAATGAGATTACATCATAATGAAGAAGAGAACTAGAATCTGACAGGTATGACGCATCGAGTTATACTAACAGGTTTCAGCACGGCAACATTATTAAATCAGCTGCTTTAGCAAGCAAGTTATTTACAAGGCCAAAGATAATACATGCAAGTGAGCTGGGCAGTAAAGGCTGGGAGGGAGGGGAGAGTTGTAACTATCGACAAGCAAAAGCCTTAAGGTTAGTTGTATAACATTCCATGCAGAATGGACTCATTGACTGCAGATGAAAATAAGCATGAAATAAACCATTAAGCACTAGTATCTAGATATGTCTTGGTATTTAGTCCTCATGAAGAGTTATGATCTTGCTGAATAGCTATTTTAGGGCCCCATTTTGCTTTGGTCCTGTCCAATCTACACCGCAGCAATTCCATTTAGTGACACTGGAGAGACAGTGGTATAAATGAGAGTAGGGTGCGGACACTTATGGGAGAGGTTGTGATGCTTTTCTTTAAAAACTAAATAAAATACATTGGTCCAAGATCCCAGCTCTTTATTTCATATAGATGCAGGCTGAACGGTCCATGCCTTATTTGTTCCTTCATGATAGGGGTTGTCCCAGCGGAGTCAAGATGCATGCCAATAATCTTAATGTGCAGCCATAAAGATACCGGTAAATATGTATATATAGGTAAAGCAACACAGTAGCTGAAAACTGACCTACCTCTCCATGACCTTCCTGTAAAGCATACTTGCTTCCATTAATGCTTTGAGTGGTGAGAAAAATTACACTTCTCTTTCTTATGTTTTTGAACCTCACACTCTGAGGTCATGTTGAGTGCAGGAAAGGCTCCTGGTAAGCTCGGTGGATATTAGAGCTCTTGCCAGTACTGCAAAGGAAATGCAGGTCCCAGCCTAGGACTCTGAGAGGAAATGCCTTTCAGCATAAGTTTATCTTTCAAATGGCCCATCCCAGTTACTTTTGGGTCTGCACACAGACTCTGTCAATGCTCCAGGATACTAAGCAGTTCTGCCTTTTTCTTTCTTTAAATAAAACCTTTTGGTTCGTTTTTAATACTAAATTATAAAGTGCGCTATCTGTTGTACATTCTACAACATATACAGTCATGGCAAGAAACGTGAGGTGGCCTGCAAGCACATCCCAAATCATTATCATCATCATCTTGTTGGTTCCCACAGCCTTATGCATCACCTGTGTGCTTCTTTTTTTTAATTTCATGATACATAATGCATTCCCATGTTAATCTTTGCCATCTGCGCTTGAGTCTTTCATGAGAGCTTTTTAGCTCAGTTCATTGAATCTCGTGTTGCAGTACATCAGATGTACACATTTCTGATTTGAGGCACAAGGTACGCTGCTGTTGATCAGAATTTTGACTTCTGACAACTAGCTGAGCAAGTGCAGCTGAATTGTTCTGTATTGGCTGAGCTTGTAAAGTGAGAAAGGTGATTGAAAGGTTGTGTGCTTCAGTAATTGTACTTTTGCTGTAACTTGTCTTTCCACTTCATGATGCATGTTTTTTTTTCTTTTGTCAGGATAACAGCATATAGCTTCTTAATGCTTTTAAAAATTCCATATAAATGATCTGGTGACTACCTACACCAGTGTTGGTTCTCTGTGCCTGTTAAGAGTATGACAGTTCTCAGAGCAGTATAGGTGTAGCTTCAGATTCCACCACCTAGGAAGCCTTCAGATATATTCTGACTAAGAAGTAATATGTAAAAATAATTTATATATGCACTTTTTTACTTGCATTAGTACACTTATATATAAAAATTACACTTTTATTATTAAGAAAAATGAATTAAGTCATCGATTAAGGTCATCATTTTAGGCACTAGAAGTGTAAGATTTCACCTATTTATTATAGCCTGTGGTTCTGGCATAAAACATTAAAATGGTACTTATGCCAGAACAATATATAGACTGTCATCTATTTGCATCTGAAAAAGGCAAATACATTTCTACTCTTTAAGCTGTGGTGCAGAGACTTAAGCTGATGAACTGAATATAATATTGCTTCAAGCACTATGAAAATCAAAGGGATGTCTCCAGTCGTTGTCACCAGCTGTCTTGTTGCATGTTACAGTCCTAATTTAAATATCTCCAGAGTAGTCTTTAGCCACTAAAGCACTCGCAACTAACTTCTCCGTCACGGTTAAGAAAAATGTATTCATGTACGTGATGACTGTTTTGTTGTAACAGTACAGTTTGCTATTAATGTTTGTCCTCCGTTGCGTTGTCTCTGCATGCCCAATGCATGTTTCCATTAAAGTTTGTTTAGCTCCTGTTTTTTTCTCTATTTTCATGACACATTCTTCACATAGCTGTTTATGATTCAGATTTGTTTTGCTTGTTTTCTGTTAATTTTAGATAACACGTGAAAAGGAAATAAAACCTGAAAGAGCATCAGAAAAGCTTTTCATAGCCCTTTTACAATCAGTAGCATTTTAAGTAGAAGTTACAGGTCTGATGGTGTGATAAAAGTTGGCATCTATCTTTTGAAACCGCAGGGTTGTAATTTGCAGCACTGAATTATATGTTACTTCCCATAAAAACACATTAAGTAGCGGTGCAGTGGCTGCTGTTTTGAAACTGGTCTGTTTTACTTCAGATTAGTGGTTATAGGTACCCCATAATCAGTAATATTTTCACATCTTGCTGGCATTGCTACAGAAAAAATGCTCCTTTCAGTATGGGTTTAGGTAACAGGTAGTTCTGGGTAGTTTATGTCCGTTGCTGAGATTAGTTACTGTGGTCTGTATAATTCCTTATTGCTGGTCACAAAGGCTTCGTGTATCTCCCATGGGGATCCTGCCCATTGAAGAGCAGAGAGTTTCAAGTTTAGTAGCTATCAGTGGTCAGGAAGATTTGCAAAGGGCTGTCCTTTTTCTTGAACGCGATCTGTTGGCTGTTGGTGATCAGCACTGGTGATGACTGATTAATTGAGCTTTCATTGGTGAATCACTTGTTGTTTATTACAGTACCTGTGTTGTAGTAGCTGTACTAGCAGCTTTTGGGTAATCTTCAGCCTCATCTATTTATTTATCCTCTCCCCCCCTTTAATGCAACATTTTTGTTATATTTTGAGACTAGAATATAAATAGTGAGGTTTGAGGGCTTAGATTTATCCTAATTGTGAAGAAACACTGTCATTGAGTTTTATTCCACTGGATATCAGTGCAGAGTAGATGTTTCCTCTTACAAACTAGGCTGTTAGGCTACATGTCTTTAGGGCCAGAGTAAAATAGAGATGACTGAAGTGGAATGTGAGCTGTGATTCTTTCCCAGTTTCAGTGGTGTAGTGTCTATACTCTAGAGATTTAGGTTGCTTAAAGGCAGTTAACCAATCCTTCCCATATTCATAGCAAGTTGACACTTAGATCTTCCTAGGTCAATATATGAGGTACAAAGGTGTGAGGTACAATAATGTTTACTTGGCAGGTCTAAGAAGTTCTAGCAAATGGTGGCAAAATTTAGTTTGTTGCATAATAATTTGGCTGCTTTGGAATTGTCCAGGCCATGTGCAGAAGTGGGAATGTCTAATTATTGTGCCATTCACAAATACCTGCTTGTCTGCATAAAACCAGTCCAGAATGTTTGTAATCTACTAGAGCATTAGCAGCACTAAGCTTTAGTAACTTGCTAATAATAATAATAATAATACACACTGGTTGTGTAACTCCTGAGCTGCTACCAATGGCTCTACGTGTCAAAATAATGGTACAAGGAAAAAAAAAAACTGGGACCAAGCTGCATTTCAAAAGCTTATAGCCATTAGGATTCCAATTTAAATGATTTTTGGATGAATGGCTCCTGAAGACGTCGACAGCTTGACCAGTCAGAGCTGCTGGAAACATGGCTGCTCTCTAGGCTATCTCGATCACAGTGCGACAGGCAACGCGATCAACAAAGCAAGTGATGGGCAAGGCCTTGGTTCTGTCTTTGTTTGGGGGTAAATAGCTGTGTGATGTTGTGTGACTGTGGTGGTTTTCAGTTCCTTTAACAAAAATCCAATCCACCTAATAACGCAAGTCTGAAAAAGACCTTGATAAATTGACACATGACCTTATTTCCCTTGTCTTTAAGATCCAATATCCTAACTGGGATGGTGGAGATGAAATGCATGGTGTAATCTTTCTAATTTCTGCATGTCTTGATTTTGTTGTGTCACTAGGGGAATGGGGAATGCGGGAAAGGAGCTTTTACAGAAACAAAGAAATTGCACACATTTTTGTAAATGCTCCTGGGCAATTTTGACATATTTTTCTGCTGACTCATAGTTAATATCTTTTCTAGACTTTTAATACCATAGTTATGCCATAAATGTATTTAAGGTGGCTGATGTGTATAACTTCTACTGTTCCTCTAGGTTTGCAGAAAGTGTGATTGTTACTGTTCCAAACATTTGAGTACTTAGCAACAGAATTGAATGCTCTCATTTTAGGAATACAATCTATAAAAGAATATGAATTGACCAGCAGAGCAAAGCACAGTAAAATTCACACTGATGTTTAGCTGCTCTTATTTTCCCATCTCTCTACCTATAAAATGGGTACTAATCCATTCATACCTTCTAATTTCCTTGGCCTTCTGTGTTCTCCATGGAGTGTGAGAAAGATCTTACTGGCCTGTGTCATTCTCCAGGCAAAGTTTATACACAGCCACGTTGTGCAGGGAAACAGATTAACTGCAAGATACTTCAGTGTTTTGAGGCTTCTAGCTGAACTGTTTTTCCACTGTTCCTAGGTGGCAGAAACTGCAGAAACAAATGAAATGGTCAATGGAGCTGCAGAACAGAGGACAAGTTCGAAAGAGTCTAGTCCTGTTCCTTCTCCAACGGCAGACCGCAAAGCCAAGACAGCCATTCAGGCACAGACTGCTGCTACCCTACCAGCCAAAACACAGGAGATTCCTTCAGCTCAGATGGAGGGCTTCTTACATCGCAAACACGAATGGGAGACACACAGCAAGAAAGCCTCGAGCAGGTAAAGGACTCAATGCTTAATGCAGATAATTGCATCCGAACTCGCCAAGTTGTAAGACAGTAAATGTTATCCCTGCTGCTGTTGCCTTCTCACAGCTCCTAAAGACCTTTCAGCCTTGTGCTCCTGTTGTAGGAGTTGTGTATGTGTGGTTGAGCAGTGTCTTTGTTGAAGTTGCAGTCTAAAGATACATGGTAGAAAATGCAATGTTAGCCATATTTGGAAGGTGGAAAACTGAGGCATAAAGAAAGGTACCATGACTTTGCCACTTCACATGATGAATTTGTGGCAGTAGTGGGATTTGATTCCAGATCTCTCAAGTTGTATGTTACTACCAGAAAAGAAAAACACGTAGGTGTGAGAATAGAAATGTCCATATTCTTCTGACATTTTCTGTTTGCACATTAGCGCTTTCCACCTACTCTGTAATCTGTTCAGAAGAGAAAAGTGGGGGAAGGTGATTCTGTGTGCCTTAGTTGATTCCATTCCTAAGGACCTGATCCTGTGATTCTCAAATGGGCAAAACTTAGGAGACTTCTGTCTGCACTGGAAACGCAGACTGGGGTCCTTCGTGATCTGAGAGAGCTCTTGAAACCAGATTTATGCCTTGGCTGGCAAGGAAAATGTTGTAGTTCAGCAAGTGTTGAACTACACTAGCCTCTGAGAGATTTGGTGGGAGCCAAAGTACCCAACAGAGCTGAGTGCAGGTCACAGATGAGTACAGTACTACCAGGATTTTTGTTCAACTAGAGTTGCTCACACTGGAGAAGTACTTTGAGGCAGTGACAGCCACCAGTGCTAATATCTAGGGACTCTTATTTCTAGTAATCATTGGGTTTTTTACAGCTGTATTAGAAAATGAGGCAGATGATGCCGCTAACAGTATTTGTATCAAGGATTTCATACACAATCCATTCAGTAGTTTGCAGCACAATGAAAATTCCTTCTACAATAAAGCGTAGTCATTAAAAGGTCAATCAGTTTCTCTCACATGTATGCAAACTGCCTAGCCTGCCAAACAATCCTCCCACTGTTAGGATATGCTTATGTGCTGTCAAAGAGAGCTCTGGAAATCTCTTCCATTCGGCTCAAAGTACGTACTTTTGTCTTGAAGCCGTGCTTTTATGAGAGAATTTGCTGTCTGTGGTTTACAGGACAGTATATGCTGTATTCACATCCTCAGACTGAACTCGTCTCCATTATCTTATGGAAATAACAGTGTTTGCTTTCTCCAGTTCTGCAAGTAAGAGCATTAGATTTCTACATACTTCTGATGTTTTCCGTGTCTTGTAGATCATGGCATAATGTGTACTGTGTCATAAACAACCAAGAGATGGGCTTCTACAAGGATTCAAAAGCCGCTGCTTCTGGGATCCCCTACCACAATGAGATTCCTGTCAGCTTGAAAGAAGCAGTCTGTGAAATAGCGGTTGATTATAAAAAGAAAAAGCATGTGTTCAAGCTAAGGTAAGCCTGTTGAAGGATCTTGCCATCATTTAAAGTTGTGGTGGGTATGTTCACTGTGCAAATTCATGGGAAGCTCCACCCCAGGAACTGATCATAATTATTAACTGCCATATCTGCTTTTCTGAACAAGCTCTTCCCAACACTGAAACATGGTGTATTTATCACAGGTAGCGAGCACAAAACAATATCAAAATAATCTGTGCACATCTAGGACAAGAATAGACATGTCTCCCTAAAGTTAGGCGCCTGCATTTAAAAATGCTGGGCTTTTCAGCTGCTCCCTCTGGAATTAGTTGAAAAGAGCTGAATGTTCACAGTTCTGCTCTTTTCAAAATCAAGCCTTTTGTTTCAATTTTTTCAGTATGGATTTGGGAGACTACTGAAGACATCTATCACATTTTCAGGTCTAGAACATGTAGCTACAGAGCATTTCATTTTGAAGTATGTGAAGTACTTGCTGTTTAAAGGTTAAAAAAACTAAGGCTTTTCCTTCTGAAACTGTGTTTCTGTTTCACTGATCAATCTCTTAGTGCCAACAGTGAAAAAATAATTTATTATTACAGAGCTGCTAGGTGATTCTATCAAAGGAGACTCACTTCATGAACTGATCAGTTTTTTGTATTCCAAGATAGATATTTTTCTCTTTTTTTTATTTTTATATTGATACAAAAATCCTCTAAAGATGATAGAATCAATATCCAGGGACACGTGCTTTATAGCAAATATATAGGGAAATATATGGCAATACTTAGGGAAATTTATCTTTCTTGAAGACAGGCCTGCAGCTGTGTGATTCATCCTTTCTACTGTTTTAAACGTCTCTGAATTGATAACGTAAGGATCTGCTGTTCCAAATACCAAGTTAGGCAGAAAAAATCAATTGCCCTTCTATTCACAATACCCTGTCACCTGCATCGGGGCTCTCGGGTAATTGCATGTAGCGTATTTTCTTTACTTATTCTTATCAAGAGAGTCCCCAGAGAGTTCACCAGCTCGTCACACCAAATCTCTCTCTCCAAGCTGAGAAGGGGTATGTTGTTGAACATCTGAGAGGCTGAGGTCTCTACGGATCTCATGTGGAGGGAAATGTCTCACAGAAAGGTTTAATTGTGATCTATGGAGAGTACACTGGAAATATTTTTCTTAATTTTTTTAGGAAGGAAGCAAGGCGTAATTATATTCCTCCTAGTGTCTGTCTGTCTTCACTGTTATTTTACTGTTTAATGCTTAATTGCATTCTGTAAAGAGATTTTAAAATGCCTTCTTTTTGTGGGGAAAGGTCAGGAAGCCTGCAACACAGCTCCCACTCACCCCGCCCCCTGCTTGTTTAGATGCCTGATCTGATGTTATTCAGTATTTTTTTTAATGAATATGTATCTCCCGATACATTGTTAGATGTATCCCAGTTAAACCATCTGAGTAAAATCAGTACAGAAATAGAACAGAAGAGAGACTCTGGCCTTGAGTGTGAGAAGAGGCAGCTACTCATTAATATTACACAGTGTAGTATCTTGAGTCACCCCCTCAGTAGCTACAACAGCAGAGCGGCTGCAGAATTTTGCTAGGTCTCTACAGAAGCCATTAAAACTCTGGTGTTGCCTGTGACTTTTGTCTTTTTAAAGCATCGAGTAAACTTTTATACTATCTTTTGCAAAAGAGAAAAATCTGCGTGAAAGAGCAAGTACTGAAACAGAAATCACCAGCTGCTGAAGATCACAAGCTCCACAGTGCCTCCTGACATTCCGGAACACATCCACTGTCATAAGCATGTCTGGACAACAGAATATACAGTGTGTGTGGTGCCTCTGCCTGGCAGTGTGGGATACCAAACCCTGAGCTGTCGGGGTGTATCTGTGCACAGACAGATGTTACGACTGTCCCATGCAGTCCCATGTGTCTCAGTCTGATTGTATACTGTAGCTAAACAAGCAGGAGTTGAAGCAGCGTGACTACTACTAAGCTAAATTTGTGGTGGTGGTTTTCTTTGCAGGTTGACTGATGGCAACGAATACCTCTTCCAAGCCAAAGATGATGTAAGTTTCTTTTTCTCATTGTTTGTTACTAATGTGATATCTGTGCTGTGGTACAACAGGAAAAAAGTAGCTGCTGAGAGCTCGGGGGTACATTTTCATTTCCTGGTCTGCAGTCTTGTGCGTGTGTGTGCGTAATGTGCAGATTCAGAAGCTCCCACTGGCACCACCAGGGCAGTGGGGCTTTTCAAATACAGCTTCTAGTCAACGTCTTCGGCAGTTGCATAACCAGAGGCGTGCCAGATGATGAGTTAGGACCGTGTTTCCTTTTATTTCCCACTTCTGTCCATTCCCCCTCCGCAATGCTGAGTGAGTTAGAGAGGGCGTGTGACACACGGATTGTAACAGCTTTCTGCTTTTGGGGCTTCTTGAAGGAGGAGATGAACACGTGGATTCAGGCCATCACATCAGCTATCTCTTCTGATAAAATCGAAGTATCCCCGACCACCCAGAGCACTCCAGCCTCCAGCCGTGCCCAGACCCTGCCTGCCAGTGTCACAATAACCAGCGAGTCCAGCCCTGGCAAGCGGGAGAAAGACAAAGAGAAAGACAAAGAGAAAAGATTCAGCCTTTTTGGTAAAAAGAAGTGAACTCCATCTCCACACACTGCACTTCTCTGACCGTTCCAGTGGAATTCCAGCATGCGAGCTCAGAACCAATACGTTACTCTCTGTGCCTCATGTTCCTCAATGTGATTGACATTTTTTTTATTTATAGAGCATTTTAAACTAAAAAGCCAACAAAAAAGAATCTAAAGTTACAAATGTATGAGGTGCATTGGGCAGCTTCTGTAGGAGAGGGAGGACCAGGTTTTGGGGGTTTGTTTTGTTTTGTTTTTGTTTTTAAAAAATGAAGTTAATGTAGATTAGATCTTAATATTTAAACTGTTCCTCAATTTTGTGAGGCTGTCTTGGAAAATAACCCACTCCTAGTGCTATTGGTATGCAAGGCAGCGGTGCTTTCGAATCTACTGTGCACATCAAAAACCAATGTACAAATTTTCAAAAACGTTCACTTCCATTTAAGGTTGTTATGCTGAGTCTTGACTAGTAGAGCCTCCCATTACAGTTCTAACATTTATTAAAACGATAGTGTATGATCTTTGCCGTAACAGAGTGCAGGTATGCATTAACTTACAGACGAACCATTTATATCCTGGCATTGGTTATTAACACAACCTGAAGCTTTTCTGCATCGAGTACGACAGATAAGAATGTTGGTGTAAAAGGTGGATTAGCAGGCTGATACAGTTTTAAATAATCTGTAATTTCAAATTCTTTTTCTTGCTGAAATACATTATATTGTATGTTTCAGATAATTCTAGTATAAAGTATAATAAGACTAGATGTATAATAAACCCTTTAAAATCATTGATAAGTGTAAAAGTGGAACTGAAGCATTTACTGGAAAAGTAATGTTACTCAAATGGTTACTTGCTTGTCAGCTGCAGCACTGTGTGTTATAATTTTGCTACATTACCTTGCTCTTTGATACATAGTGTGCATTTCTCTGTCACTGTAACTATTGTAATGAAAACTTTTCATCTTACTGCACAATCAAAAATTACATTTAATAGGAATGAACTTTCAATGACTGGGCCTGTAGTCAAGAGTAGTACTGGAACTGGCTTTCAGTTGTATTGAACTGTACCTCTAGACTTTTACCCTATCTGTTAAATATATGCTATGTCATTAAATGCTTTTAAAACTAAATATGCTGGTTAAGTTTCTTATTTCATTTCTGACAATGTTAAAGCATAATTTTGAAAGAGGATCAAAAATAAAGTTATTTTAAAATGTCATCTCTCCTGTGCAGTGAAACGAATGCCTTCAAATGTAATCCAATTTTCTTGTGCAAAAGTTCATACTGATACAGTTGTTTTCTCTCTTTCCACTTTTCTTTACCTTCCTTTACTTTCACTTCCCCCTTGCCCTCCCTTTCACCCTGCTCCCCAAATTAAGTGCCAAAGAATAAAGAGGAAAGGAATTAAATCAGCATTTTGTAAAGTACTTTGATATAGGTATATTTTGTGAGAAATAAAACCAGCAGAATCCATGGCAGTAAGTATAAGCACAGGCTAGTTACCTGAACGTCTTACCCTATTGAGGTAAATATCCATGTACTAGTTTGCAGGAAAATAACTTTTCCAACTTTCTACCTGCCTTTGCTCAAGTGCTTAAATCCTCAGTAAATCAGGCAATAATTGAACTTTATAATTCAATTTCACTGGGGTTTTTTATGTCAACTTTTTTAAACCATACCTCTCTTAAGGTACAGCCACCATTGCACTTCTGTGAGGACATACATTTAACGCAGCTAAGGTGATTCCAAAGCTAACTATTCCTTGACCTTGTCATCATTTCAAAAACTAGCATCTCTCCAAGAAGCCCTAATAGGCATTAGAAATTTTTAAATCAGTGAAATGTGAGGAGCTGGGTTTTTAATGCTCAAGTGTAATTTTGGATGGAAAGCAGATAAACTGCAGACTAATGTATTTCCAAGACACGGGTTCCTGAATATGTGACCAATACAATGTCTTAATTCTCTTCATGGTATATACTGTGTTTTCTGGGTTTTTCTTGTTTCTGGAGTTTTGGGTTACTAAACATTTGATTATTCATGCAGATGTTGTTCTAGTGTAATTATTAGTAAAATGTAGGATAATGCCACTAGCCTTGTAAATGTAAAATTTAATACAATAGAAAAAGCTGAGGTTTAACATTAGAAGAGAATATGAACGATTCTTAGTTAGTTAAAGTACGTAAAAATGTTGATGCCTATTAAGCTATTACGATGAGCCAGTCTAACAGATTGATCTTGACTACGTGTTCCCAGAGGGAGAAAGAATGGGGGAATCTCTCTTCTGTGTAAAGGGACTGCTGGAAAATATCAGAGGAAGAAGAAAGACTAAGTATGGATGATGGAAACGGGACTGAAATAGGAGCAGGTTGTCACTACCACTGGTGTTAACTACTGCAGAGGTGACTATATGACTTTCTGACTTGCAGCACTGAACATGGTTAGAGCCCTTGATAGATGGAATGTTATATTCCTTCTGGTTACCACACTGAAGAACGAGGATTTGTAGTACAGTTTAGCGCTGTACTGCAGTTTCCTTTGTTAGTGGTTTTGTACGCTAACCCCTGTTTAAATTGTTTATGTTTCCTCTGGAGATATGATGCAAAAGTAATAACAGAAGTTGAACCTTAAAATTTTCAAAGAAAATAAATTAAAGCCCACCGCTTTTCAGCTACGTTGCTATCGTTGTTATGAAGAAGAGAAGTCATCCTCTAGTCAGGTCAGTCTGCCTTCCTTTTTCCCTCTTGAGGGGAGCCTCATATTGCATTCTAAGATGAGAAGGTATCAGAGAGCTGCATCTGAAGGATCCTTTCCATATCCTGATGAATTAAGTAAAGTGAGGAAAAAACCCCAAACTTGTTAGCCATAGGAGTTAAGCATGTGTTGGATGGGAGGGTTTTCTTTTAGATTGATGCAAATAATCTGTTAATCCATCTGTTCTGCAGAGAGAATATGTTCTCTTGGAGGGTTGTACTCTGTATGAGGAAGATTAATGGTGAAGTAAAAGAAATGTATGATTAATCTCTGTTCCTGCGAAGTACTGGTTTACATGGTTTTTCACTTCACCATGCTCTCTGTTTTATGATTCAGTTCACAGAGAACAGGCTAAATATGGAGGGCCTTTAAGGAATATACTTTTGTAATAAATAACTTGCAGGTATGATGCAGTTTTGCCTTTTTTAATTGATATTTTGTTTTTTTCTACTTTGACTAATCACAGGTGGCTGAATAAATGTAGAAACAAATCACAGTGAGTTGGAACAAACATTAGTCCTTTTATTTAAAAAAAAACCCAAAAAACAGAAAATCAGGCTGTGCTAAATGACTGGCTTAATATTAAGAATTAAATTACTGGAAAAGGCAGAATTCAGCTCTCTGACACTACAGCTCTACCTGTGGACTGAACGATTAGAGCCACGTGCTGAAAACAGGAGGAACGGAGGAATGGGAGCTCTCAGAGAGCAGAAGTGGAAGAAGGATTCGGCTTGCTTTTCTGCATCCTCATATCAAGAAGGTACGCTTTGAGGTCAAGCAGAACAAAACTGGGGTAGGAAAGCACTGTGTTCTCAATGCAGCAGAGACTAGCATCAGGATTTTAATTCTCCCCACGGCTATGGGCGTGCAGGGCCTAGTTGAGGAGTCGGTATTCAGCACTTGAGAGACTAATCTGTTTTATTCCTTACTGATTAATATAATTTATCCCCTGTTGTTACTCATTTTTCTCTAGCCTTGTGACATCAATTCAATTAATATTCTGGCTTGGGTAGGTTGGTTTTTGTTTCAAAGGATTTTAAACAAGATTAAAGTACAAATAAGGTGAGGCATAAGACAAACCCACAGTGCAGTACTGTAAATGCTGCAGTACACAGGACAACTAGTGAGAATGAAGAGAAACGTATTACAGCATAGAGCAGTTAAACGCAGAAAGCATGGGAGTGAGGGGTTCTGCTTCTAATCCGGCTTGTGCCCTTTGTTACCTTGCGTTCTGACAGCAGCCTGGTGGGGCTGAGATGTCTTATAACATGTGCTAATGCTATCACAGCAAATCTGGATGAGTTGCGTGTGCCATCACCTGGCATCTGAGTCACTCCATGTAGCCGCGGCAGCGGAGTCGCTTCAGCAAGCCCACGTGGTCACATCTGCAGTGTGTCATAATGCAGCATATGCAGCGCACACCCAGAGCACGGAGCAGCCGAGGGGCAGAGCTGCGCTTCCCAGTCATCACACCTGCAGGAGAGTCCCAGAACAGAGAATCGGGAGACCTAAAACGGTCTCCTTTGCAATAAAATGCTAATTTATTCTGTAAAGTATCAAAGGAAGGATTTTGTGCATATTTCATGATGAATCCTGCCTTGCTTCTTAGGCTCAGCATCCTGATGAGCCTGGTGATTGTGAACGTCAAGTCTACAGTGCAGTTTAGTTACACGTGTTCTATGTTTGAAGTATGATTTACTTTTTATATTAATGAATTTCACATAATAATCTTTAACTGTTGCATGAGAAGCTGAGGTGATTCATTATGCTATATATCTGGGCCTAACATGAATTTTGTTACTAGTTTCTTACTAATCCTGCTATTGTATTACTCCCACACCTAGCTGAGAAGAAACTTCCCTTGCTCCACGAGTGTCAGTGTTATCCATGACAGGTCACTGTCCAGAGAGACGCTTAGCTGTGACAGATCCATTACCACCTGAGCAATCAAGTATTATTTTGTGCACTCCAGAGAATTAAGAGCTTGGATGAAAGTTCTCTTAACTTGAAAAAGTCAGATTTTAAAATAGTTACGTAAACTTGTGGCAAGATTTAGACATGTCTCAGATGAGTTATCATAGGAAGCTGAGCCAAGTATGGCAGCCAGGACACTGAAAGGCAGGGAGCCACCATCCTTGCTGTGACAGAAAAAATGAGACACGTTACTGTGGGAAGGTCAAGATCTCTGTAATGGTGATAATAACTTTTAAATGATCACTGAGATTCCACTAAAATATTATGGAAAGACAGCTTCAAATGTATGTCTGCATAAAGGGTGGCAGTAACCCGTTGGGTAGTAGGTCTCCCGTTAGGTCTGGGAGACCCTTCAGGCAGGACGTACGGCAGTGGGCTGCACAGTGTTAGTGATGTGTAGGTACGATGGACTCGACCAGGTTGCCTTTGGAGGCCGGCTGGGTCTCTGAGGACCATGCTCTTTGCTCCATACCTCTGGGCTCTGAGCAGGGATGAGCACAGTAGACCGAAACAGATGTTTTTTATTGCTCTGCTGTACATGGCAGTCCTGGACTGCACTTAGACATGCATCAAAACAAATGTATTGTGGCTGGTCAGAAGGACTTTCTCTCCAGGCTACGATTTGAAAGAATATGGTGTGTCTGATCTTTCAGAAATGGGCTTGCTTTGCATTTCGGGATGGAAAAGACTCAATTTTTTTCTTTTCTTTTCTTTTTTTCCCCTAACACTATTTCTGGCCAGATCCTAGCATTTCATCAATGCAAATCAGTATTTCCACCCACAGGAATAAGAGCTTAGAGCTAATTCCCCTGTTATTATTTTGTGGTTAAATTGCAAAATCACTGAGAGGCATCAATCAGAATTGGATTAATATAATGCCAGGCAACAAACAAGCAGAACTAGATCATAGTTCCTGCTTCTGATCCCTCCCCTGAAATTCTTACAGATTTTATATAATTTTAAAAATTATTTACAGCTCAAATAGGTACTAATTTTGAAATACCAATCAATATGCCATGTCTGTGCAACTGCTGCACATTCAGACATAAAAATATGAGCTGTAAATGGTATTATTGTGTAGCAAAGAACTAGGACATAACACAGATGTTTCTGGGAGGGAAATTCTCAGTGTTCGTTGTGTGTTTATCACAGCTCTTACATATGTATAGAGTGAGTACGGTATATGGGTTGGAGTTCATTTGAGCTGTGGTGCTTTTTGGCATTTTCTAGACAAGGTGTGCTTTAAAACAAACAGGTGAACAAAACAACAACAACAAACCCACAAAAAACCCCAGACCTCTCAAAAACCCCATCAGCAGTGAATGGTCCCTTCAGCAAAGAGCAAGTGTGATAACTGCCAGTCAGGTACTACTCATACAAGATGCTCTATTCGTTTGTTTTTGCACTTAAAAAAAAAGTAGTAAATGTCAAGGAGGAAAAATGGTGGTGCTACTGGAAAATTTAATGTATCTTTTATGTACTTAAATATATTTA